GTTCTGTTATTTGCTTATATTATATATGCAAGAGTAATATACATGGTTGGCTGAACAAGGTGAACGTTAGGGTCTTTGACATGCAACAGGAAGCAGATGGAATATAATTAATGGCCTGTTTAAAGGGTGAGTGACTTTGGAACACCTGTTTTCCTAATTTTAAACCTATTTTGTACAGATTGCCACAGATCTCATTGTTGCATTAACACTGCATGTGTGTGTGTGTGATGGCAGAATTAAGTGGTTTGCTGTTTTATCTGAAGTTTACAGAAATTTAGTGGAAACAAGTACTCAAATAGTGTTTCATTTTTCCTTAAAATAGTGGAGAAGCCCACTGGTATATACCCTACCTGCTTCGTGGCTCCTGTGATCACCTCCCTCAGTACAAACTGCTGCCCATGCTTGGGTTGTGGCAGGGGTGGGGTTATATGAATTAAACCTGTGCCGTCTCTCAGTAGGCTAAAAGATGGCATCTATCCTTAACTTTGACCACTGGGAGGAGCGTAGAGAAAATAAACACTATGGTGCACCTGTAGCAGCAAAATCGGGTGTCTTTATCTGTCCCACCTGCAGTAAAACATTTCTCTCCCCTATCAGTCTCTACAGTCACAGCCGGTGCTGTAATTCTCCAATGGTTTGACTTTACCCCTGAAGATATACTCCTTTATTGTCTCTGGAGACAGATGGATGGCAGAACATGCACACACATCCTTCACCTCGGTGTGAAAAGGGAAATGGTGTCCCTGAAGTCAACTATTTTGTACTGGTTATCAGTGAAGTTAACTCTCTAGTCTAGGCAACCAGCCAGCTACCTGCCACCCTTGGCTTTCCTCAGTGCAGCACCAGGTGCCCCCTGGCACCTCTTGCACCTTCATTTTGATCTAGTGCCACCTTTGCAAAAAGAAGAGGTGCTGGCAGGCAGGCTGGTGCATGTGTGAGCTCAAAGACTCAACCATAAAATGCAGTGCATTGTGTCCTTCGGAATAACTCTCTGGTTGCTGTCGTTTGGCCCCTAATCCTGCACATTTGTCTGCCTGATCTGGGAGTTGAAGAGCTTTCAATCAACTCTCAGAAAGAGAAATAAATACAGTGGTGCCTCGCAAGATGAAATTAATTCGTTCTGCGAGTATTGTTGTCTTGCGATTTTTTTTGTCTTGCGAAGCACAGTGTCGGGAAAGTTTTGGTAAAGCTTCAAAAATCACCAAAGTCTTCAAAAACCTCAAAAAAGGCTACCACACCGCGTTCTATGAGTTGCTCCTCGAAGTCAAGTCGCAACTGTATTAACGGTGTTAAGAAAAGGGAAACAAACTTGCAAGACGTTTCCGTCTTGCGAAGCAAGCCCATAGGGAAAATCGTCTTGCGAAGCAGCTCAAAAAACAAAAAACCCTTTCGTCTAGCGAGTTTTTTGTCTTGCGAGGCATTCGTCTTGCGAGGTACCACTGTAAAGTGTCTATGAGTGGGGATGGATGGTGCCAGGGCCCTTGGTCACTTCATGAGACTTCTGTTTTCATGTCAGATGTCGAATGATCTAAAACTAGCTGCTAATGTTACAAACTGTGGTTTATTTTTTAAAAAACCAAATAAATCTGGTTTATTGTAGGCTTAAGCTCTGCTTTTGTAAGCTGCCTGTATCTTATCTTTTTTTGTAGAGGTGCTCTGACCTGCTTTGCCCATGCCCACTTTTGGAGGCTGCCATCATCTTCAAAAGGGTCGCCCGCTCCTCCTCCTAGACCAGGGTTCCAGACTTGGGTCTCCAGCTGTTTTTGGACTACAGTTCCCATCATCCCTAACTACTGCCCCTGCTATCTAGGGATGATGGGAGTTGTAGTCCAAAAACAGCTGGAGGCCCAGGTTTGGGAAACCCTGCTCTAGATTATGCAGGGTTTTCCAAACTGTTTTCTTCACTTGCCCATGGACCAGAGGAGCTTCTGCCTGGCAGATGTTGTGTGTGTCTTGCTTACATGCTAAGAGTGCTCCACATGTTTAATCTTACTTTAGGAAGACTCTCAGTGAAAGAGGTTTAGAGCACCTTTTCCTGTTGACAAACACACAGTACTTTTATTAGAAAAATAAGCTGGTTTCGACAGCTTGCACTTCTGGTGTACTGTTACCTCATTTTAAAAGGGCACAGACCATCTGAACGTCTAGTGTGCCTATCTACTGAGCCTACATGTAAGCTTAATATCAGCAACTTCAAAGTCTTTTTCTTTTCATCCTCTGAAGAACTTCATTTTTAGAAAATGGCCCATCAGTCAGTGACTGAACTTGGATTTCAAACAGTGTCTCCATATTCCTCCTAATTTGGAAAAAGCTGTTCATCTTTCCAACTCCTTGGCCATGCAAAATTGGTAGATAATACTAGTTCACAAATGTTTTGTGACCATGTCTGTTCCTGTGTCCTGGTATAGTTTTCTGTTTTCCAAAAGTCTGATTGTACTTTCTTATATGGTACTAAAACCTGATAGTATCCAGTTTATCATACATAAAGTATTAAATTGTCTTGTTGTGTTGTTGACACAATAACTTATGGATATCACTACAGCTACTAGCAATGATTGTTGGCACTGTTGATCAATTTGCAGAAAAACTCATGGAAAACAGCTGATATTCCTAGATTGGTTAAGATGTTTGTGTGCAACGTGGGCTCAAATCTGCTTGAATGCTGGGAGTCAACTACAGGCAATAAAAGACACTGTACTGTGCCCAGAAAATTTGGACATGGTCACTGCTGATTAGAGCATTGGGCTAGCTAGAGCATGGGTAGGCAAACTAAGGCCTGGGGGCCGGATCTGGCCCAGTCACCTTCTAAATCCGGCCCGCGGATGGTCCGGGAATCAGCGTGTTTTTACACGAGTAGAATGTGTCATTTTATTTAAAATGCATCTCTGGATTATTTGTGGGGCACAGGAATACGTTCATTTCCCCCCCTTCAAAATATATGCTGAAACAGTTTGCTGACTCCTGAGCTAGAGTCAGGCTAATAACTTGTGAGTTCTCTAGAACAGGCATAGGCGACCTCAGCCTTCCAGATATTTTGGGACTACAATTCCCATCATCCCTGACCACTGGTCCTGTTAGCTAGGGATCATGGGAGTTGTAGTCCCAAAAACATCTGGAGGGCCGAGGTTGCTTATGCCTGCTCTAGAATCTTTCATGTCCACTGAGGTGTATTAGATTACAAAGCAAGAGTGCCTGCTAAGGATTTCTCCATTAGTTGAGACCATTGCTTTTTTCTGCGGGGATGTATGGTACGCATACTCCTAAACATTTTGTGACTCTTTGTACTTTTGTCCATTTACTGTACTTATTTTTACTGATTTGAACTATAAAATGGTATTTTCTTGAGTCAAAATGAGAGTACCCCTAAACATTTTTTTTAGGGGTGAAAAAGCACTGGTTGAGACCTTAACTAATCTGTTAGCACAGTCTTTACTTGTGTGTAGATGTAGGATTGAATACTTTGTTTGTGCTCTTGCATTATAGGTCTACCTAAGGGTTAGATCCTAGTCTAATATTGTTTACTGAAATCCCAGCAGGATCTTAGCGGGTCTACTGAGGGCTGCAGACTGCCTTCTGTCCACCCCAGTGGAAAAAATTGATACTACTAATTTCCTTTTGGCTGCCTGGAAAGAAATTGTGGCTAGGCAGACAATAACTTGAAGGAACAAAAATAAACATTTTGAAGCAGAAAATGTATTGCTTGCCAAATGATTTTATTATTATTACAAAGAAGTGAAAACTGGAGGAAATCTTTTTTAAAAAATGAAAAAGGCCACAAATAACTTTTTAAAAAGCAGAATTGTACTCTTAAAGCAGGCTTCCTCAAACCTCAGCCCTCCAGATGTTTTGAGACTACAATTCCCATCATCCCTGACCACTGGTCCTGCTAGCTAGGGATCATGGGAGTTGTAGGCCAAAAAAAAACATTTGGAGGGCCGAGGTTGAGGAAGCCTGTCTTAAACCTTGATGCACTGGTGGGGTGTCATGTTTTAAAGTAAGCAGGTTAAAAGTATTGATAATGTGCTGTTTTATCAGCAATGAAATAAACGCTTTGTGTAAAATAACAGTTAGAAACTACTAATGCTGTATAGAATTATATAGTCTTGTATACACTGCATTGATAAATTCCTAGAGGCAACTTGCAAGCCTTTTGATCTTAGTTGCTGCCTATCCCATTCATATACTTTAAGCTAGTTTTTGTGGTACTGCAGGAAGCCTTCAAAGTCAGCTCTGAGCTCCGTGGAGGATGGGTGGGATAAAAATGAAGCAGACACTGTCTTTCTCATTATAGTATGTGTAGTGTAGTGTAGTGTGTGTGTGTGTGTGTGTGTGTGTGTGTGTGTCCCACTTGGGGTTAGTAGTACAGTACTGGAATTTTTTGAGAACAACTCATCCTGTGACGGGAAGGGACGACGGGGGAGTTAGTGTGAAAAAGGGTGCCTCTTCCAGTGTCATTTCCAGTGTGTCATGCCAGTTCTAGCGTGCCTCCATTGAAAACAATGGAGCTTCTTGGCCCACGGCCCATCAGAAAGGACTGCTGCATTCCTGTTTTATGACTCTGGCGTTGCAGGAAATACTGAATAGCAACAAAGCCTGGGCTAAAGTAGTCTAAGATGTTTTATTTGTCAATGTTAGAAAGGATAGAGCTCTTCTACAAGTGGCATTTTCAAAGTGTTTACATAGGCTAGGATGATAATCAGACGCCAAACTTCTGTAGCCCTGTGTAACCACTGGCTTCCTTGATCCCTGATCCTCTTAATACCTGCAGTTTTAGTATGCTGCTCATTGTAAATGTAAACATTATAAAAATGTAAACTTGGTTTGTGTGTTTAGTGTGTAAACTGGTGAGGGGTGTGTTATAGAGCGGGGGATGTACAGTATTTCACAAGCTGCACTAGCTTCCCGTCCTTTTTCAGGCAAGTTTGGAAGTGACTGTGTTTCACCTATAAAATCCGTGATAGCCTAGAGATCTCCCACCCCAAAGAAGAAAAGGCCATTGATAAAATCAGTTGACACCACTTTATTGACTGCTCTCCGTATTGCTTGTCTGAATAATAAGAACATGTCGTAGTGGGTAATTGTGGAATTCCCTCTGCGTAGAAATCCTGTATCTTCCAGAAGCATCTTAGAGTTGTGGGTGGTGTTTAGCTACTGGATAGAGTTAAGTAAAGAGATCTGTGAATCATACGAGTTTAGTTTATCAGTCTGTTAATTTGGCATATGAGTAAAAAAAATTCTAAAGCAAGAACTATACTTGCAGATGTGTATAGTAGGTATCACCTTAGAAGAGACATTCCCTCATGAGGGAGAGGATGGAGAATCCCTCTTTAAGATATATATGTTGCCCAATTAATCAGGGGTACCTTAAGGGACGCAGGTGGTGCTGCGGGTTAAACCACAGAGCGTAGGACTTGCTGATCAGAAGGTCAGCGGTTCAAATCCCCGCAACGTGGTGAGCTCCCGTTGCTCGGTCCCTGCTCCTGCCAACCTAGCAGTTCAAAAGCACTTCAAAGTGCAAGTAGATAAATAGGTACCGCTCCAGCGGGAAGGTAAACGGCGTTTCCGTGCGCTGCTCTGGTTCGCCAGAAGCGGCTTAGTCATGCTGGCCACATGACCCGGAAGCTGTACGCCGGCTCCCTCGGCCAGTAAAGCGAGATGAGCGCCGTAACCCCAGAGTCAGTCACGACTGGACCTAATGGTCAGGGGTCCCTTTACCTTTACCATCAGACTGAGTTGCTTTAAATAGTTCTTTTTCTTAAAAAAGAAAAGTGAACTAACATTGCAGTGTTACTTACTGAGAACAGTCATAGTGGGTTTGTTACAATATTTTATACCATTCATTTCCAGGTATGATTTTCTTTCTAAATGGCTTGGGTCATTTGAGTCTCCCCATGCTTGATAACCTCTGGGTAGCATGTTGCACTTTCCAGTGTTCCACTTTTTGCAGGAGGTGAAATATTGTGTGGTGCAGAGTGAGATTTTTCCAGAGGAAGCTGTTCTACCAAGAGGCCCACTTACAAATTATCTCTGGGAGTGTGGATAACTGTTTTGCACAGAGTCAGGCCATTAGTATTCTCTACACCAACATTCATTCTCCAGCCTGGTGCTCTCTAGAAGTTTTGGGCAGCCACTGCCATGAATCCTAACCATTGACTATGCAAGCTAGGGCAGGTTAGAGTTGCTGTCCAAAACACCTGGACAACACCAGCAGTTCTGCCAACCTAGCAGTTCGGAAGCACGTCAAGTGCAAGTAGATAAATAGGTACCGCTCTGGCGGGAAGGTAAACGGCATTTCCGTGCGTTGCTCTGGTTTGCCATAAGCGGCTTAGTCATGCTGGCCACATGACCCGAAAGCGGTTCACTGGCTCCCTCGGCCAGTAAAGCGAGATGAGCGCCACAACCCCAGAGTCGTCCACGACTGGACCTAACGGTCAGGGGTCCCTTTACCTTTACCTTATAGACTAACAGCAAGAGACTTTCCCAGCCCTATCTGGAAATGCCAGGGATTGAACTTGGAACCTTCTGCATGGCAATGCTGTGTGCTACCTCTGAGCAATGGGCCCCTTTTCTCTATCGTTCCACACCAAGTTATAAAACTTCAGTACTGCTGAGCTTTCAATTTTTAGCTTTGTTTGCTTTTACTCTTTTTTTAAAAGCCTTTTTATGTTATATAGCTTGAGCTTTGGTTTTAAAAAAAAAAACTTCCGCAATGCAATCCAATACTGTAAATGTATAATTGGAAGTAAGTCCCATTGAGCTCAATGTGTTTTTCTCCCAAGTAAGTTGGTTTAGAAATGGCAACCTTAGCTACTTCCTGGTATTAAATAAATTTCCATTGCTACTTTTTAATTCTCCAAGGCCTTTTGTTTTATTTTAAATCTATTTTACGTTTCATTTTCATTTGAAGTGCCTGGGTAGAAAAAACACTGCAGACATTTTAAAAATGAAATAAAAACTGTAGAATAGAGCTTTCCAAACTTATCATATTGGTGACACACTTTTTAGACGTGCATCATTTCACAGTAATTCAGTTTTACTAACTCCTTTCCAGCCTCGGGAGGAGAGCAGGGATTGTTCTCGTGACACACCTGCACACTGCAGCCGACACACTAACATGTCGCCACACACAGTTTGGAAAGCTCTGCTGTAGAACCTCTCCTGACAATGCAATGTCAGTATAAAGGTAAAGGTAAAGGTACCCCTGCCCGTACGGGCCAGTCGTGTCCGACTCTAGGGTTGTGCGCCCATCTCACTTAAGAGGCCGGGGGCCAGCGCTGTCCGGAGACACTTCCGGGTCACGTGGCCAGCGTGACGAAGCTGCTCTGGCGAGCCAGCACCAGCGCAGCACACGGAAACGCCGTTTACCTTCCCGCTATAAAGCAGTACCTATTTATCTACTTGCACTTAAGAGTGCTTTTGAACTGCTAGGTGGGCAGGAGCTGGACTGAAAGACGGGAGCTCACCCCGCCGCGGGGATTCGAACCGCCGACCATACGATCGGCAAGTCCTAGGCACTGAGGTTTTACCCACAGCGCCACAGAATAAACAAACCTCCCTACAGTTCTGTTCTCTTGTAATTTCCTATTGCTCCAAATACTACTATAAATAGGACAGAATAATAAAGAATGAGGTAGGTGTTCAACTAATCAGAGATGCAGTTCATAACTGACTTTAAAAGTATTAGACTAATTAGAGGGGTGCTCTTTTAAAGGCATTCTTGGAAACCTTAATTAATGAATGGCCACCTGTGTCCAAAATCTTAATTTTCTTAACTTCAGAGTACCTTTCTGAAAACTTTTTACTGTGCCCTATACATAGTAAATAACAAAGTGAAAGTTTCTAAAATGTGTGTTACAAAGTCAGTATATCCAGTCTAACCCGGAATTAACAAAACTGACAACAAAGCCTGTGGTTCAGTTCGTCAATTAGAATTATTCCAAAACAATACAAAAGGATGACTAAAATGGAAAATGAGTATGCCTGCCTTCTCAGACATTAAAACTTGTTGTTAGCTGGATAACTTCCACCACTTTAAAAATGACTCACAGTCCTAATACTAATTCTTCTTTGATACGTTATTTGAACATAAATGCTAATATCAAGCTTTGTACTTGATAGTGTATATATTGAACAGCTGAAGTCCCATTATCCCTTTTAAGATCCACATTGAATGACAACATATCGCACAGGTGGAGAACTTAATAACCTTCCAGATGTTGCTAGACTACAGCAGTCAGTCTTTTTGGGCCGCTGGTTATCTGGCTAGGGATGAAGAGCGTTGGAATGCAGCACATCTGGAGGGCCAGAGGTTGCCTCTCCCTTCTTGAATTGTCGTTAATCCCATAGCTTCCAAGGTGATTTCCTACCTTCTTCATTGCTGCATTAGCAATAGCAGACCGTTCTCTGTAGTAGTTTGCTGCAGCTGTAGGCCATATCTTTTTTCATATATTTCTTTTCTGTTTTTGTTTTTTAAAAAAAAGATATTTATTAGAATTTTACAAAAAGAAAAAGAAAAATACAAAATAAAAATAGTTAAAAAACAATTCTTTCAATCACTTATCTTTCATTTGCTTGTTTCCTGGACCTCCTCACACCTCCCTTTTTGTATTCCCGTTCAGTTTGTTAGTTCAGCAAATCCTTCCCCTCTTTGTTCATCCTAATCTTTAATCTTAAAATAATGTAACATTAAATTTTTGCCTGTTAATAGTCCATTTTTTCCTACTCCTTATAGCGTTATAGCTAAAAACCACATAACTTTTCATCCAACATCATTCTAACATTCATTAATTTTACAATGTATCTGTAGGTAGTCTTTAAATTTCTTCCAATCTTCTTCCACCGACTCTTCTCCCTGGTGTTTCTTTTCTGTTTTTGAAGCAACATTTGTTCATTTCATTTCTTCCCAACTGCCTAGACACCCTTGGCACAGGAGCCTGACATGAGAAAGTGCTGATTTTGGGATGGGAAGGCAACATTACACCCACAGAGAGCTATGACAGCTGCCACCTCCGTCTATATGAGGAACACAATACTCTTGGGAGAAGTGCGACAGATACGTCACTTCATCTGTCTGCTTTTACCAAACATTACCAGGAGACATGAAGTGGTGGCAGCCAGGTTTTTTTTACGTAATGTGTAGTTTGGCCAAAAGTGATTTATGGTACGGTAAGCCTGAGTTTTCTCTCCCTTGGTTGTGTAGTTGCCCGCTGAGCCACATTGAGGCCAAAGTAAATGCACTTAACTCCCATCCAAAGGCATTGCACTGCTTAGGTTAAGCCGAATGCCCTCTTCTCTACTTGAAATGACATACTGGAGTATTCCTTATAATGTTTGACTTTGTGTCTGAGGTAATGGAAAGGTTGAGGACACTGTGCCTTATTGATTTATCTGTCCTATAACTGTGTCTGGGGAATAAGCTTCTTCTTGGCTGTTGGAATATTTTGATACCTGGTGATCATATTTTTTTAAAAATCACTAGTCCATGAAATAAGTATGAATAAGTAGATTAGCTGCTGGTTTCCTTAAGACTTGAAAGTAAAGTAAAATTACAGTAAAAGTAAACCCATTGTTCATACTAAGTGTATTCTACACACAAAATTAATTATACAATTAAAATTCAAGTAACTTTTACTCAGAGTAGACCCCTTGAAATTAATGAACATGATGAAGTGTTTGTCCACATGTTGTCTTTCCCCCGGATTGCTCCTTGTTCCGATCTAAAAAGCAGATTTTCCCTTGGAAAGGAATGGGGAAAACCACTGGGATCCATGCTTTCTAGGTATGGCACAAGTGGAATTATGGATGAGCCCATATTCATTGATTTCAGTAGGTCTATTCTTGAGTAGAACTTACTCAAATACCACCCCAAGTTCTCTGTCTAATACACAGTTGCCTGCTTACATGTTTTGGGGTAGCAGGGAAATTCTTTTGGCGGCTGTGTGGTTGGACAGATAAGTCTGGAGAGATTAGGATGGCAGGGGCAGCGGATAATAGCATTTGGATCCTGGAGCCACATGGAACCAATGTGTGCACCTGCCAAAGCGTTTCCAGCTGAAGTTCACAAAATTTGGAGCCCAAATTACTAACCACTGCAAAGCTTTTTTAAAAAAATGGATGAAGTTGTTATACACACAGGAAAGAAGAAACTGGCCAATGGAATTAGTCGTGAGATTCACAAGTAAATTCAAACTATGGTATTGCAAGGATGAGCCTAGGGCATTGCTAGGTACTTAAAGGACTCTGGGCACAGGGCCATGACACATCTGCTAATGTATATGCACAGATGTCTTTGGGTAGACATCTAAGATGGTGGATGGCAGGAGATCTGGGCTCCAATGCAAAAGACCCACAGCTTGGCCATGCCCCAGCAACTCCCCTGGATGAGCCAACCTCAGGCCAGGGGCAGAGACAGGAAACTTTTGCTTCCATTTTAGATTAGCTGCAGTTTGGGGTTGTGTCTGAATCCCAAAGTGTAGTTCATCTTAGTTGCAGTTTGAAACAAGCCAGCTTCATGAGCAACAGCTGAGGTATGCTTTCAGCCCCTTCCATACTGGGGAGTGGAAGGTGAGCCTGAGGCTTGCCTAGGTTCATTCTTGTAATGCTAAAGCGAAGTGGTCTCCTAGGTGTTGTTGGCGCCAGCCAGAATGGCCAGGGGACCAAGGATGGTGGAAGCTGCAGGTCAACAAAATCTGGAGGGTCGCAGATTAGCCATTCCTGTGCGAAACAGTGGCTTAGTGTTGCATCCGAAACAGCTCTTTGAGTCCCCCCCCCCTCCTTGAAGTAAAACTTGAACTTATTTTCAGAATAGGCAGTTAAATGTTTAAAATCCGGCACTTTTCACTACGAGCAGAATCTTTCTAGACACAAAGCAGCTGACAAATGGCGGCCTCTAAATCTTGTGACTGTACTCACTCGTCCAGCTGTTGAGTTTCAATGTTTTACGGTGTAGTGTTGTCATGTCGTCTGCTTTTGGCAAAGCTTAATAGACACAACATGTTTGACTAGGCTACAATTTTTTTCAATATTTACCCCTCTTTCACACTCCCCCCCCCCACAAAGTAGTAAATTATCCTTACTTTAATCTCTCCTGGCTGCGTGAAAAACAGGAATTTATGTAACAGGCACTCTGCTACAAACCTTTTCCTGTTTGGAACTTTGTTGTTGTCGTTGGCAGAATTTGGAGATGGCTTTGCTACTCCATGAGTGACCTTGAATGTCCTCGGTATAAGAATACTAGATTGTAACTTTTCTGATGACTAAGGAAGTCTGAAGCTTCTTTCTGTAAAATCCTAAACGCTTCCATGAACAGATAGGTTTGAAGTTCTGTGTAGACATGTATGCGCACGAGAACTCTTGTTTTCATCATAAACACTTAACGCTCTGGAGTAAGTATGCAAAATTTTAAAACAGCACTCTTATTTATTTTTAAATCAGTGGGTCTTACTGCTTTCTTGTGAATTCTTTTCGGGTAGAATAGCAGTGGCCTTAATTCTGAGCAAGCAGCCAAGATAACACGTTAAGCTCCAAAGAGTTTTCCAGGCCTCATGGTATATGCATCCTGGATATTCTACAGCACTTTCCTAAGCCGTGGCTCCTTCAGGTGTTTTAGACTACAGTTCCCATCATTCCTGCCTGTTGGCTATGCTGCCTAGACTGATGGGTGTTGGAGTTCAACAGCATCTGGACTCCAGGTCAGCTGCTCCTTTTCTAAGGGACAAACTAGACATGCTGATCAATCTGCACATCTTAAGAACATGTTTGCACCTTTGCATATAAAGCAATAATGGGGGGGGGGTGTATTTCTCACACATGAAGAAGCATGTAGGCATGTGAACTGAACCCTGATCCCTCCCTCTTCCTTACCTTGCGGTGCTCTGTTGCTTGTACAGTGGTACCTCGGGTTAAGTACTTAATTCATTCCAGAGGTCCATTCTTAACCTGAAACTGTTCTTAACCTGAAGCACCACTTTAGCTAATGGGGCCTCCTGCTGCCGCCACGCCACTGGAGCCCGATTTCTGTTCTTATCCTGAAGCAAAGTTCTTAACCTGAAGCACTATTTCTGGGTTAACGGTGTGTGTAACCTGAAGCGTATGTAACCCGAGGTACCACTGTAATCAGATTTCCCCCAATTGAGCTCCAATGACAGCAATAATAAAACTGCTAAAACCAACTACCGTATTTTTCGCCCTATAGGACGCACTTTTTCCCCTCCAAAAATGAAGGGGAAATCTGGGTGCATCCTGTGGGGCGAATGCAGGCTTTCACTGAAGCTTGGAGAGCGAGAGGGGTCGGTGCGCACCGACCCGTCTTGCTCTCCAGGCTTCAGGAAGACATCCACAGCCTAGGCAGCCCTGCGGGAGTTCCCCGCAGGGTTCCCCACGCTGAGGATAGCAGCCTGCCGCCCGGTGGGCGGGGCGCCCTGAAGCAGAGCACCCCGCGCGCCGGACAGACATCTGCAGCGTGGGGAGCCCTGCAGGAGTTCCCCTGCAGGGCTCCCCATGCTGCGGATAGCAGCCTGCTGCCCGGCAGGCGGGGCGCCCTGAAGCAGAGCGCCCCTCGCGCTGGGCAGACATTGGCCAGCCCCACAAGCTCGGGGGACAGCAGGGAGGCGCAGCGCCGCCATCGTGCTGTTCCTCGACCTGGTTCAGTTTCCCCGACCTGCTTTTGGGGGGGAAATAAAGGAAAAATTTTCCCCTTTATTTCCCCCCCCAAAAAACTAGGTGCGTCCTATGGGACGGAGCGTCCTATGGGACGAAAAATACAGTAACTGTAGTTGGAGGAAGGTAGGAAAGGGGCTTGGGGTTGCTCCCCTTCCCAGGGAACTCCTGTTTGTGGGCAAAGCATGCACCTCCACACACATACCTGCTTCATATGCAAACACGCTTAAGGTACCCATCTATTTTGATCCTTAACCTATGTGTTTTGCAGTTTGCACTTTAGTAAAAACAAAGGTACTGTTTGTTTGTTTTTGTTATCAGACAGGATATACATTTTATAAACAAAGTTTTCTCTAGCTGCTTACAGGCAGAGAAACACAATTATAGAAAAAACTATGCATAACCGTAACATTTTAAATGCAGAATAAAAAGCACCAAAAATAAAACATAGCAGCATCAAAACTTTCCAATATTGGACACTAAAAACATAATTACCCTTAATATCTTTTAAAGTTTATAAGCTTCAAAAATAAAAATGTTTTCACCCGGCTCTATAAACAGGAAAGTGTCAGTTATGGAGAGCAGTCCATAACTTTGTAGCCATCTTCTGAACCTCATTAGGCAGGGAAACCTGAAGAATGGCTTTCAAAGAAGATCTCAAATCTGGGTTGGTAGGTCCAGGAGGAGGTGATCCTTAGGTAACCTGATCCTATGCTGTCAGTTGCTTCTAGAGGTTGGGCCCGGCACTTTTTTGGGCCAAAAAAGTGTGATTGAATCAGGGCAGATGTGGCTTGCTTCACTGCTTTTGCTTGGGAGTGAACACCTCCGACTCAATATCCTTCCCTACCTCTTTAAGTTTGCACGTGCCTAGTCTTCTTCCTGGATGGGTTGACTTCCAGCAGGTGGATTGTTCATGGGAGCACCTGCTGGATGTGATCATCATGATCCTGTAAAAGCATATATAGTCCTCCACTAGTGGTTTTTGCCACTAGTACTTTTTGAAGCAGGCATTCACAGCTCATCATGGAGCTTGTTCTCCAACCATGCTCATGCAAGAGTGTTTGGCCAGCAGTGTCTATTGATGAAGAGCTTGATGCCCAGACTCTTCGATACTTGTGCTATTTTTCAGTGGTAGTTAAATCTTGTATTCACTGGCTGTTCCTTTGGGATACAGTTGCTGCTTAACGCAGGTGCTTTTTGCTGAGGTATATGCAATCTGTGGTTTTTGCCATCAATGCTCTTGGGTCTTGGACTCCCAGTTTAGAGGCACTGTGAGGTCTTCGTCCTATTTCTCATGGGAATCTGCTTCCATGCTTGTTGTGCAGGATGTGTTGTCCTTGTTGTACAGCTGCCTTGCTATCATTTCAGCATTTCCTTTTATATTGCAAGGATGTGCCTTTATGTTCTTCCTGTATTACTTCTTCTTTCTCTATTCTTCACTCGGTGGTTTCATGGTACACGCTGCCTTTGAAGAATAAATAACAATAATAGTAAATAAACAAGTAACACAATTTACAATAGGAAGAATGGGGTGGGTCCTTAAAAAAGTCTCTGGTGCCAAAGGCCAGGGCAAAGAGGTGTGTCTTCATCATATTACAAAGCTTACACAATGAGATTTGGGGCCGAGGTTGTTTAGGGCTTTAAACACTAATGTGGGTACCTTGAAATGCTACCAGACAGGTGTGAGGTTGGGTCTTCAGGCCAGGGCTATAGTTGCATGGACTCCTTGCAATATTGTGGGTCTAGTGATTAGTGTTCTTATCCACTTTTTCATGTTGATACTGAGGGTTAAGCACAGCTGTCATCTTATTATTTCTCCTGCAAAATCACCAATTTGATGGAAATAGGTATACTAAGCAGAGGCTTATCAAACAGGGCAAAGATGGCTGCAACACATATTGTCTGTCCTCCATTAACACACACCACAGGAGAAGTTCCCAACACTCTGTTCAACAGGCCAGGGGCCTCTGGAATGTGTGCACACCCCACCAAGCTTTTAACAAAATAATAATGAGAGTAAGCTTCCTGGCAAATCTACTGCTTGGCTTCACCGAGACCTAAAGAAGGAAAACACCAAGTCCACTGGCCCTTGCACTCATTAAGGTCAAGAACTTCCTCCCAAAGGGTGTTCACACATCTTTGCACTTGGTTCCCATGGCAGGAATGAGAAAGTCGCCCTAGCACTGTCAATACATTTTCCTTCCTTTGTTTTAGGGGGAAATATCCTCCCACATATTGCCGAGCCTAGAACAGGAATCTCCAGCTAGAACTCTTTCCTCCCCCAGTTTCCCCTCACCTCCTCAATGTGCATTATTTTTCATTGGTTTTGAAAGGATTCCAAGGGAGTTTGTAGCTTGTCAATGCTTGTGTTTCCTGTTTCACTGCATTCACCCGGGAATATTTTGCATGATGCGAGGCTCAGGAGGGGACCTTGGTCTTCCCTTCATCCCCCTTCACTGCTTTTTGTGTGTGCTTTTTGACAACAATCTACACCTTGTTATATAAGAGCCAGGGTGTCTATAAAGAACAATCCAAACACCTCTGTGTCCTGGTGGAAAGGACGGCAGTCCAGATTCAAATCAGACCCCTAAGGAAGAGGCACCATCTGCCCTCTTTGCCTTGGGATAGGTTGTATTTGTGCTTTGGTTCCTATCTCTAGTTCTGCTTCCTTTCTTGCCTCTCTTAACTTGCCAAGCAAGTTAGCTACGCAATTTCAGGCAAAACATCACTTGTATTTGACTCCCTTCTCTAAGCCAGTGTAGCTTTCTGCAAGTCTGTCTGCCATCTATAATTGTCCCATATTCTTATATTTCACTAGCTCCTCTCTCCAGCTTTCGTTGATCTCTCACATTTTGCTCTATCTCTCAGCCATCCTCATCTCCTTCCTGTCCTCTTTATTGACTCGACTGAACAATTGCCAGACAATTCCCAATGATCTGTATATTTTTGGCAATAAACCACAAATTCAGTTTTTCTAAACTCTGTTGTTCCAATGCTAATTTTCTCTCTTGGAAAGCAAAGGTTTGGGGCATGTTTAACTGCTACTCTTGGTTAGCAATCCCAACACTTATTCCTTGGGTAGCAGTATACTGACTTTGTCCTTGTTTGTTGTCTATTTTAATCAACTGAAAATTTACTTTTTTGACATTGTTTGGAACCCCTTTTAATTGGTATAGGGAAACTTGATCAGTGGAGCTGCAAATTAAGGATCCTTTTTAAAGGCCATTTGCTTATCTTTATATAAAATGCATCGAGGTGTTTTTTTAAAAAAAACTTATGGGGTCCCTTGCAACTCTACAGTTCTATGATTATAATTTGTGTAAAGTTCATTATTCATATAAGGTGTTAGTAAATTCACTCATACTGTGTGCTTTACAGCAGTTATTCTGAGGCACTTGCTCTGAAATTCATTATTGCTTACTTGTACACTATGACTTTTGAGAATAATGGCTTGGATAAAGGGGTTACCATTTGTTGGGCCAACATTTAGCACTTTAAGCTCTCTGAACAAAATAATGAAATGGTGTGCATGCTCAGACTTTGGTTTGCTCTGAGAACAGCCTGGGATGATTGGACAGATATTATTATTGGATTACAGATTTTTCTTGAGGTGGCTTTGAGGTTAGGGTTTAAAAACCTTTAAGAACAATACAGCAGTGGTAAATAGAACACCTTTCCTTGAATTATATTTCAAGGTAAAGAACAGGTAACTTTCTTTAAAAGTCCGTTTTGGCAATGGTAGATACACATTTCCACAATACTGGATCCTGGCACAAATAAAGTAAAATAAGTTGTTAGGCATTCAGATTCCAAGTATAGATAGAAACAGCTAATGAGGTTGAAAAACAGATGACCCTGGGGGTCCCTTCCAAATCTACAATTCTATGAAAACATTTCTATGCGTACAAACCTTCCTTAAACAGGGAACGGTTCACAGCAGAGATGTTGAAGTCTTTCCCCCATTTTACTTAATCTTCCTAATACCCATTGTTTTTAAGTTTTTTTTATGTACGTAAATTTGTTTTTTCTTTAATTTTCTTTTTGTAGTATGAGATTGTAAATTCTTTTTATAAGTGTGTAATTTAAATTAATAAAGATTATTTTTAATATATATATATATATGGATGGAATCCAATGTACTACTAAAGGCAATCATTCCGGCAGTGCAAAGATGTCTCCTTGTACAATGGAACACTCTCCTCCCCCTGATGCCCCCAACCTATTCTACTTTAGATTTGGAGAGCACAATCGGGGAAGAAGGGTGGAAACCCATTGTACAAGCAGAAATTCTTGCATTGACTGGACTTATTAGTAGAATACCACCCCAAAGGAGCAATTGTGTCTACTACGTGGCAATAAGTGAACTATGGCATTGGGAAATGGGATTTCAATAGTTTTCATGCATTTGATGAAATGGCTTTCTAATTGAAGAAAAATACCGGAGATAAGTGTGACTCACCTTTTTCCTTGCAACTTTTTTCTCTTTCCCAGAATTCAATTCGTCACAACCTCTCACTGCACAGCAAGTTTATCAGAGTACAGAACGAAGGAACAGGAAAAAGCTCTTGGTGGATGCTCAATCCAGAAGGAGGCAAAAGTGGCAAGTCGCCCAGGAGAAGGGCTGCATCCATGGACAACAGCAGCAAGTTTGCCAAAAGCAGAGGTAGAGCTGCAAAGAAAAAAGCAGCTCTTCAGGCAGGTCAAGAGGGAAATTGTGACAGTCCAGGCACACAGTTCTCAAAATGGCCCGCAAGCCCCAGCTCTCACAGCAATGATGACTTTGATAATAACTGGAGCACTTTTAGACCTAGAACCAGCTCTAATGCTAGTACAATCAGTGGGAGGCTTTCTCCAATTGTTCCAGAACAAGATGACCTTGGAGAAGGAGATGTACACGCCATGGTCTACCCTCCATCCACAACCAAAATGGCTTCAACTCTCCCAAGCCTTTCTGAGATGAGTAGTTCAGAAAACATGGAGAACCTCCTGGATAACCTCAATCTTTTGTCTCCTAACACATCCCTGACGGGATCAACCCAGTCCCCACCCACTACCATGATGCAGCAGTCTCCCGGTTATTCATATACTTCATCCAACACAAGTATAGGTTCGCCCAGTGCAGACTACAGGAAATACAGTTATGCTCAGCCCAGCATGAACTCCTTGTCGCAGATACCTATGCAAGCTCTTCAAGATAGTAAACCAAGCTATGGAAACCTCAGCCAATACAACTGCCCTGTAGGACTTCTGAAGGAGTTGCTTACTTCTGACTCACCTCCACACAATGAGATCTTGGCATCAGTAGATACTCATGTTTCCCAGCCTAGTGGCCGAGTGCTGGGACAGAATGTACTGATGGCCACTAACTCGGCAATATCACCCTATGGCAGCCAACAGGCCCATAACAAACTAATTTCCCCCGGTGCCCACCCACACCAGGGACATGTCCAACAAACACCAGCAGTTAACAGCCACACCTTGTCTCTCACACTTAGCACTGTGTCTCACGCATCGAGTTTAAATCGTTCCTCCGCCGCGAAAAACTCAGTACAAGTGCCTATGAGCCACCCTATGCAGATGAACAGCATAAACCCTTATACCACTGTGAACAGCTGCAATGGCTATGGAAGATTGGGAATCGTCTCTTTCCATCAGGAGAAGCTTCCCAGTGACTTAGATGACATGTCGATTGAACGATTGGACTGTGATATGGAGTCAATAATTCGGAATGAGCTCATGGATGGGGAAACATTAGATTTTAACTTTGACAGTGTGTTGCCTAACCAAAGCTTGTCGCATGGCGTAAAGACAACATCACACAGCTGGGTTTCGGGATAAGATTGGAAGGTTGGTTCTCTTTTATTTATACATACATGGTTATCAGTTCCTGACTCTAAAAGGATGCTCCTGCTGGTGTATGGCAGGACAGAATTCAGGAGGTGTGACTTCTTCCGTTACAATATTGTGCTAATGGGAGAAGCTATGCATACTGTACCCCTCTCTGTCATGAAGGTGCAGTGAGGTGGGATGAGAGGTTTTCTAGTGCTATTTCTTTCCATGGGAAAAAATCCCTTTCATGAGTTCATTAGTTACAGTAAGCGGGTGGCAAGATTGGTAGTGTCAAAACCTTCATTTTCATTTACTAAACAGAAGTAAAATAAACATGCTAAATCTCTAGGGCATCAGAAAAATTATCTGCAAACTGATAAATTTCCACCGTGAATTACCCTAACTGCCATAGAAGAAACATTTCCAATTCAAAATGGGAATGAAATGGGAAGCTAATATACACCAAAGATAATAAGCAATAATTTGTAATGTTAGGGATAAGTTCTAGAAGGGAACATTTGACACAGTGCTTTACCTTGTTCAAAGATGGGGTATGATTTTATAAAACAAAGAAAAGTGTTTTTGAAGAGTAATTAAGAGATGAAATGCTGATTCATGTGATATGATAGTAGCTTCTAAACAAAACAAAACAAAAGATTCAGGGAAGTTAATTGAAACTGGAAATCAGAGATAGCCATGGTAGAGTTGTGAAGGCTTATTTAGATTACAGTGCCTTGCTCTTTATTCTTAACTTTTTAAAAATGAAAAAATGAAATGGGCTGTTCTACACAAGCTGATTCATGAAATCAGCTTGTGTAGAACAAGCTACCACCTTAGGTCAAACCCCATAGTTTGTAGGTGTCCAAGAGATAAACTACAATTTGTGAGGCTGGTCACTATGCCAAAGAAGGAGGTTTTTCAAAGGGCATCATATTGGGTGGCAAATTGTCATGTAACTCAGTTTAAATCTGTGCTCTTTAAAATCTGCTGAGACTATTATGCTAAGAGTGAACTTACACCAATCACTCTGAGGTATGCATTCCTCAATGTTCTCAATTAAAGTTTGTGACCCCAAAGCACCTCAATTTACAAGTGAGTCATACATTTACTTTATATCAGTAGAGTATAAAAGAGAAGTATGAAATGTGGCTTAACAAGGGTGTTGAAATGTAAAGATGCTCAAAGCTAAGACATGCATTGACTATCATATGGGAATTAAAAGCTTGCAAATGTGCCTGCAGTCATGCATTAAGGTATTCACCCGGGAATGGTCCTTTCCAGGAAAGTCCTTTAAAAGACCAACAGATTCTACAACGTTTTATTTAACTTAGATTTGCCAATATTATACTGAAATTGGCTCACATTTATAAAACACTGATGTGTTCCATAAAGCAGTGGACTCTTTGTTTCTTGGTTCTCTTAGGTATTTGGATACCACTATATGCATTCTTGTCTTGCATGCTGAATGTTTTTCTTTGCTTTCCATCATTGTGTATTTTCTTTCCATTATCCTAGGCTGCAATTTAAAGTACTTCAGACATCTCTGACCGGCAGGAAGTGAACAAGGAAGTCCAAAGATGTCCTTCAACCTCTTTGCTTTTTCTTTTTGTATTTTATTTTCTCTTGTCAGACTTGGCAGCAGATACATTTTTCCTGTACAGGATGTTTGCAAGATACTTGCATATTATTTGCTGCTATTGGTAAGAAATGTGCCATTGGAAATGTCTTTATTTGGAAGTGCCAAACTCACTACAGTGTCGTAGGAACGAAGAAAATACTTGTGCATCATGTTTTGCATTGACCCAAGAAAAGGTTAAAGCTTTTAATACTGTGATAGTTTTAAACCTTCATAACTTTCATCCCATATATCTTTTGATCTGATGAACTCATAGAGGGCTGCAAACAGCCGGATTAACTGCCTTAAGTGTATTAAAATTGCACATTTTGTATGAGAACACATCGTGGAATATGATCTAACCAAAGTTGTTGGCCATTTGGACTTCCAAATCAGAGATTGAAAGCTTTGCTTTGTCGCCTATGTGTTTGATTATGTAGATTTATTGTGGGGCTGACTTCCTGATTGATTTCAATTTTATTGATCAACTTGAATTTTTGTAATAGGCATATAGATATTTTTCTTACATCTCTACTTTGTTATATGAGCTCCTTAAAAACTTGCAGAATCCAAGATGCCTAATAACATTCATAACATTTTGTATACAGTATTTTAACTAGATTAGGGGGGGATTTATATTAGCACTGTGTAAGATTTCTAAAGAGAAGACATTTAGGTGTAATTTTTGGTGGGAGGTGGTTTCCTGGCACAAAGGTGATCTCTTGGTCTATAAATGTAGAAAACTTCTATTTCTTATAATTAACACTGACTACCCCCAAGTGTTAAGTGTTGTTAAATGGTTTGTATATTCATATACTCATTTTTGTATTTATTTTACTAGAGTTTTATAATGTTTGTAACTCCAGGAGCAAAAACTTCTCAGCTTAACGTCGCTCCAGCAAATCCATTTTTAGTTTCACTTGTTCTTAATTGTAGGGTCTGCCATTTCTTTTTCCATTGCCTCCTCTTCTTATTTATTCAAAGAGCCAGAAGCTGCTTTAAATTACATTATGGTATAAGACCACATCTTGCAGGAAAGAACCTCAGCGACTAACTTTGCAGTCTCAAATCATAGAAATAACAATCGCTTTAGGTGGTGTTTTTCCTCAGAGCCTTCACAGTTTACTCTCTTTGAAGGGGGTTTAGGAGAGCAAGTTTACAACATAGAGGTGAGCAATTATATAGAGTATAAAAAATTGTGAGCTATCGCTTTGGTGGCTCCTTGGCATACCAACGTCATTGGGTTTATCAACCACCTTTCGTTGGTCAGAGAAGATGGGAGCTGGAGCCCTGTAACACCTAGCCAGCCACTGTGTCCCTGTTTCAGAATTAGATAAGTTTTGTGGAAGACTTTGATGTTTTTTAAGAGAGTGAGGGGTGATGAGCATGTGCCATAAACCATCCATGTGGAGATTAGGGTACAGAGTCCCCAAGGTGCCTTTCAACATGTTTACTGGGTGGCGCTGTGGGTTAAACCACAGAGCCTAGGACTTGCCGATCAGAAGGTCGGCGGTTCGAATCCCCGCGACGGGGTGAGCTCCCGTTGCTCGGTCCCTGCTCCTGCCAACCTAGCAGTTCAAAAGCACGTCAAAGTGCAAGTAGATAAATAGGTACCGCTCCGGCGGGAAGGTAAATGGCGTTTCCGTGCGCTGCTCTGGTTCGTCAGGAGCGGCTTAGTCATGCTGGCCACATGACCTGGAAGCTGTACACCGGCTCCCTCGGCCAATAAAGCGAGATGAGCGCCACAACCCCAGAGTCGTCCGTGACTGGACCTAATGGTCAGGGGTCCCTTTACCTTAGGTGGTCTTTACCTTACCTTTACCTTTACCTTAGGTGGTCAAAACCTCCTTTTGGCCAGGAAGCATGCGTTTCCTTGCCCTTAGCCTCTCTCAGCTTTTCTTTCCCAAGGAACGCCAGTGAGACTTAGTGTCCCTTCAAAACATTTAATATATCATATAATATATACCTGGGAGGGGAGTGGGGAGGTCGATGAAAAGACTTTCCTGAGCTTAGTTAAACATTCATCCGTCTCATCCAGTCTTCAGCTCAGTTTCCCCTACACACAGTTTAGCATATCCCTGAAAGCAGAAAGGCCTATACTTAGCACATTGGGCTCCCAAAATGCTAGGAGTTTGCTGGATCAGGCCAGTGGCCCAACTAGCTCAGCATCCTGTTCTCTCAGTGGCCAACCAGTTCTTTATGAGAAGCCTGAAGGTGGGACCTGGGTACAACAGTGCTCTCCCCACACTTGTGATTCCCAATTACATAGCCTAGTAAATCTGCTAAGTAGTTTCTAGGGAATCAAAACATTAACGAAGGGGTGGTATAATGCAACAAATCATGTAACCGCAGATTGAATATGCTTCTCCATAGATTTCTATAGTACTTTAGATTTAAAAATGTAAATGATGGCTTTGTGGACTGTGTGGATCTTTAATATATACCAAGCAGCCTTGTTTGGGGCTCTTCACACCTCTGTTAGTCTGTGAGAAATGTATTCTGCAACAGAACCTGCTCTAATTCTGTACTATATTGTTTGTGTGTTATATTAATTACCTGCATTACTGAGACCTCGGCTTAGATAAACTGACAAAAGTTGACTAAAATGGTAATCAGATGTATTCTTGAATGCTGACAGTTCAACAGAGCACCCCTAAGGTAAAGGAGAAAAGATGATTAAAGTGGACCAGTTCTTTTACAGTCTTACAGCACAGTTCTGCACAAATCTGCTTGGAGGTACTTCTCTGGGACTTACTTCCATGGCGGTGCGTGCGAGGATTGCAACCTTAAGTTTGCACTTGATCAATAACTGGATTGGTGTTATTTTGTTAAAATATTTTCAGTTCGCATTATGAAATGTTCAGGCTTGTTAATTTAAAATTAATTTTTAAGTAAGGTAATTTTTCTTTTGTATTTTATAATTACTAAAAGTAATACTGTGCTTCATGCAAGCAAAAAATAAATAAATATGTAATTCTGCATTAAAATGGGACTTTTGTTATAGAGGGGCATCTCTCCCCCACTTTCTACATAAGCAGCACTGCTGACATGAAAATACTTTGCATGCTGTTTGTGTGAATTGTAAGAACATGGAGGATTGTCTATGCTGCAGAATTTCGTTTGGATATTTGTTGGGGGGGAAGTGCCTGATGTTTGGAAAAACATAAAATAATCCTTTGTACAAAGCCATAAATGTGTATATATATTGCTTTAATTGTGTTGTCTTTCATATGAAGACTTGTATGCTGATAAAGGATTCTGCTTCTTTGTTACTTGTGCAAACCCTTCTATTTTATCTCTACTGTGAGGTGGCTTATTTTTGTATGGTGTCTTGGGCATCTTTCATTAGCAAAGTGACCTAATTTATTTTATAAAGATATAGGCAATTCATATTTTTGTTTGTATATGTGTAGCTGAAGTTAAGGGGCGAGGGACTTGCCAAAGGCTATGCAGCAAGTCAATAGCTACTTTATTTTTCAGCCCAGATCTCCCACATTTCAATCCAACATTGCATTCACTGAACCAAACTTAAGATCGTGTTCCTCTTTCTCTCATGATCCTCCACACTTCTTTCCTTTTTCTCTATATGAGACATTTAGTACCCCAAAGCAAAGGTCTGGAAATCTGTAGAAATCTAGATTGTAAACAGTACATCTGTGCCACTGTGAGATAGCTCAGCTGGCATGATGTATTCCAAATGTGGAATCTAGATATGCCTTGTTTTTGGATGCCTTTATTTCAGAAAGCTCCACCACTCAAGCCAGCAGGAACTATTGTTGGACTTAGAAAAATGAAATCACTGAAGAGAAACAAGCCACACAATTCAGATGCCACCCCAACATACCACAATAGGCATAGGAACGTGCCACAAGCTATAGCTCCTTCCCTGCTTCTTTTGTGTGTTCAGCTGCAGAGGAGACTACCTCGCTTCTTAAACCAGTTTCCTATGACATCCACTATTAAAAATCTGCTTAAATTATAGCAGGCATAGGCAAACTCGGCCCTCCAGATGTTTTGGGACTACAACTCCCATCATCCCTAGCTAACAGGACCAGCGGTCAGGGATGATGGGAGCTGTAGTCCCAAAACATCTGGAGGGCCGCGTTTGCCTATGCCTGCATTAGAGTTTAAGAAACTAGGAAGTCTCTGTATAAAGACGAGGAGAGAAGTTGGAGGCAGCCGAGCTTGTGATAATTTGCTAGTGTGCAAAATATGGTTGTTGGGAGTAGTTTGTTATGGCAACAACAAGGCCATATGGTTCAGTACCTCTCAACGTATTCTGGATTCTGTTCTTCAGAATAGTGTTTTGCTGCTATTCATGTTGAGGTATTGGGGGAGCTAGTTAGGTAGGAGCACGTTTGGGTGATTCCACACGGCTGGCGTTTTCACAAAGGGAAACCAGCTGTGTGCATGCAGTGGGGTAGCAAGCAGACAGCTAAGCTGAGCAGAGACACAAGCAACGCTTGCCGACACAAATTCCATGGAATGGGAAGCTACCTTTTTATGAGTACGAAAAATATATAATAGTGTTCCTAGACAGCTTGAAATCTGAGATGACTCAACTACAGTGTTGCCTTACATTTAAATGTACAGTGGTACGCTTCAGGTTACAGACTCCACTAACCCAGAAATAGTACCTCGGGTTAAGAACTTTGCTTCAGGATGAGAACAGAAATTGTGCTGCGGCGGCAGCGGGAGGCCCCATTAGCTAAAGTGGTGCTTCAGGTTAAGTACAGTTTCAGGTTAAGAACGGACCTCCGGAACAAATGAAGTACTTAACCCGAGGTACCACTGTATCCATTTGTGTGTTCTTTGAGCTCAGGTAGCTTAGAAACTGAATACAACCATCTCACACACACGTTTTGACATTTTAAAAGAGATTATTGAACACTACAGAATCGGCCCTAATCCTCAAAAGCTAACTTTAAAAAGAGGCCTGCACCTTAGTTTAAAACCTGAAGGTATTTGCATCCGCGGGGAGCTCATTCCACAACAGCCAAGCAGCAATGGAAATATGCTCTGCTCTGTCCTGCAGCTGATCTATCTTATGGGATTCCCCCTTGCCAGTTTAAAGAAAGAGAGATCCACAGAGAAGATTCTCTGCATTGTGCGTGTCCCAGTCTCTGCATGGTTCTAAAAGACAAAAGCAGCACCATCAGGCATGAAAAAAGCCTGTGCAGCTGTTGAAATGGTGTTTTGATATTTCTGTTAGGGAAAGGACTAAGGAATTCTGCACCAACTAAGCTGTTGAGCAGCCTGTGAAATAAGTTAGTTGTCCAGCCTAGCCATTGCTGGGATGCCTGACAGAGACAAGATCCTTGTTTTCCAGGAGCAAATAGTCATTTTTAGTGTACCTACCGATAGCCGAGTTCAGTAGCGATTGCCAGCAGGCTCCCTGCTCTAACGGAGTAACCTTTGCTTCATTAATAAAAGGCGAACTTGCCTCTCAAAGAGCGCTTGGATTTCAAGCCCCCCCCCATTGCATTCAGCTTCAGCCTGACAAAATAGTAGCTTCACTTCAACTACTGTGTTTCATCTTCGTCTGAAGAGGAGCTCTCTGTGCGGCTAAAGCTTCTCAAACTGAAACCACCCCAATAAAAATGGAAAGTCCAGTGAGAGCCTTTTTCTGTCTCTTACAGCAGACGAAGTGAAAACCTTTCAATCGCAAGTGTGACACACATAAACGTGCCTTGAACAGGAAAATGCAGAACGAAACAACACAAAGCTTCAAGTCCCCATTTACAGGCCAGCCAATTCTGGGGAACAAGATTATGTGCTATGTTATGCTCTTTGGCACGCTGCTTAGCTTAATAAAAGAGAACATCAGCCAGCCGTTCTCAATCTGAATGATCCCCTTAAAGAAATGCAAAAGCTACATATTCTGCAAAATAGGCAGGAATGCAGTGATTTTCAGCCAGAGGTCAGCAAACTTTTTCAGCAGGGGGCCGGTCCACTGTCCCTCAGACCTTGTGGGGGGGCCAGACTATATTTTTTGGGGGAAATGAACGAATTCCTATGCCCCACAAATAACCCAGAGATGCATTTTAAATAAAAGCACACATTCTACTCATGTGAAACACGCTGATTCCTGGACCGTCCGCAGGCCAGATTTAGAAGGCGATTGGGCCAGATCCAGCCCCTGGGCCTTAGTTTGCCTACCCATGTTTTAGGCCCACTGTTTACACAGCGTAGGAGTTTACTGTGTGCGAGAGGATATTTTATAAACTGCTAGGGGGTGAATTGACTATACTTTTCCAACAAGCATTCTGCCACCTACAAAAGCTCTGTGTAATGAGCACTAAATAGAATTTAACAAGGAAATGCTATTCTTCAGGGTGGTGAAGAATCTCTTATTAAATTCACTCTTAAGTAGGTTGTGATTACACAAGGCACCTCTATGCATCTTTCTCTAACCCACTGCCTCTATGCCTTTCCTTCATACATTTCCCCCTATACTTCTAGCTCTTCCACCTCCCCTTCCCTGAGATTTGCCTATCTCAGACTCAAGAATGCTACAGGTGATTATGAAGTTCACACCTACAAAATGGCATTCTTAAGCAGGACATTTTGAATTCAAAGAAAAAGCAGCTGGGGCCCTTGAACTGAAATGTGTTCCAATATTTCAGTAGTTTTGTGCATTAAATTTCTCCTCCACTCCAGCTATTTGAGGTCAACGGAGTGGCTTCCATGGACAAATAGGTTTTCAATAGCACAACTAAGCTGCCTACGTGTTCCCTCAGAGGGTAACTCCATCTAGAACAGGCAAGATCCCCCAAATTCTCTTGTGTTATTATTTATTAAGTCCCTTTCACATCCATCCCAAGGCGACGCACAAAATCGAATAAGAACAGCTTTAAAAATTTACAAATGCACAGGTTGCTCAGAAGCACCGCCCCCTTTTCTCCCTTCAGTAAATACTGTACATGCAAAAAATAGACAAAATCTGACCAAAAAGCCTGATAGAGCACTATACATGTGCAAGCCTTAAGAATGGGAACTTGAAAGTTCTACGCTGCAGCTTGTCATTAGCAAGGCTTAGCTATGAGCCCAGGTCTGTGTGGTCCCTGCAAGTCACACCTGTGCCTGCCATGTCCTGCAAATCAGACGACAAAGTACAAGGCAGCAACCACTTCCTGGTCACACATCACATTAAACCATAGTTTAACCCAAGCTATGGTTTAATGTGAACAAACAGCATGCTAGTGCATATTGCTCAAAAGTTATTGCTCCACTCTTCCTGTTCCTGCCACACTGCTCAGAAATAGGCGAGAGTATGGCTTGTCATGACGTTCAACCCTGGACTTGTGGTCTGGAGAGAAACCACAAGCTCAAATTTGAATGTTGCCACTCGTCAGGGACCTGTTTCCCGACAATTCAGCATCAGTAAGAAAGGAGGAGCAGAACTTTTCTACAGCATGTAAGTGGCACGCTGAATATTCACATTAAACCACAGTGCTTTTTAAATTATGGTTTTAAGAAACAATGAAAAGGTGGCAGGCAAACTGGACCATTGTCCATACCTTGCTATTTTGTTTGATCTCTGGGTGTGGCTGTTATCGCTTTTTTGGCTTGTAGAGGTGGATTCTTCTGAGCATTTTTATCTAACCAGTGGCAGAGCGTTCTCTGCTGGCGCCCGGGACAGGAAAAACCACCAGAGAGACTCCCGTCCACTGGAGCTAAGCGGGGCCACGCTGCGCCGCCTGCCCAGCCAGCTGACTTGGCCGGCACTGCCCTGCTTTGAGGGGTGCACTTGCAGTGCCCTGCGAGCCCAAGACTGCTTTGAAAGGCTTGCAAAAAACGGGACAGGGCTCGCCGAGCGCCGTGAGCTGTTGTGTCTTTCTCAAGGCACCCACCAGCTGGAGAGCAGTGTGAGAAGCATGCAACAGTCACAGCAGAGCAGGGCATCGTGAGGAAAGCGTCGCCCCCAAAAAACTGCACTTGGGGCAACGGCTCCCCTGCTACACCTCTGTATCCAACTATAATCTCATAAATATTTATAAAAATAATTCCAAGGTAATATCCACATTACGTGGATATGGACGTGGATATGGATAGGGCGCTAGGGACGCAGGTGGCGCTGTGGGTTAAACCACAGAGCCTAGGACTTGCTGATCAGAAGGCCAGCGGTTCAAATCCCCGCAACGACGGGGTGAGCTCCCGTTGCTCGGTCCCTGCTCCTGCCAACCTAGCAGTTCGGAAGCACGTCAAAGTGCAAGTAGATAAATAGGTACCACTCCAGCGGGAAGGTAAACGGCGTTTCCATGTGCTGCTCTGCTTCGCCAGAAGCGGCTTAGTCATGCCGGCCACATGACCCAGAAGCTGTACGCTGGCTCCCTCGGCCAGTAAAGCGAGATGAGTGCCGCAACCCCAGAGTCGGCCACGACTGGACCTAATGGTCAGGGGTCCCTTTACCTTTTCCTAATATCCACATGTAGTTGCTTCTGCAAGGGACCCAGCATGTGGCCAGTTTTCATGGACAATGCATACAGCAAACGTGGGCATTCTACATTTTGTTTCAGCCACTTGTTCCTGCCTGCAGGGCTGAGTAGGGAGAAACTTTTCCATTTCCCGCTCTTCCATTGTTACTGCATGTGTATTTAAATTAAGACACTTTCAAGGTGAAGAGAGAGCCAGAAGGGGCAAAGAACTGCACTCAGGAGCAGAGGAGAGGAAACAACAATAGGCAAGGGACCTAGCGAGTTGACCTTAGTTTTACCTTTCAGCCGAAAAGCATGATGGGCGCTCCCCATGTCAACAGCCTGCTGGTATCATCTCAAAGTGACTTTTGTTTTCATGAGGTTTAAAGGAACAATGACCTCATTTCTCCACTCACACCCTCTGCTGCACTAAAAGAGCTGTTTACAGAGCTCGGCAAGTCCTGGGGTGTGCATTAAATGCAAACATATACAATCTGTATCACACCAGCCCTGTCTGATGGCCTACCTGGTTTCTGCAGTCTGTC